AAAATTAGGCTCTTGTTCTCTCCTTCTCCCTTTTTGTTTTCCCCAATAAATATTTAATTATGATCTACGAAATACCAGGCAGCCTCCTGGTGCTGGGGCACCATGGTCCATGAGACAGATGGCACCTGCCCTCTTGGACTCATCTCTGGGAGTGGGTGTGGGATTGAGGATCTCTCCTCCTACCTGACCAGCCTGGGACTGGACTCTGGTGGACCAGGTGACCAGGGAGTGATAGTAGCAGCTGATGCTTCTGCCAGCCTGGGATCTCCAAATGTGTAATAGGGTGGGGCTGGGGACAGCAGATATTGCCCCCCAGAGGCAAGTGATACTGCTGGGGAGGGGGCCCTAGTACTCTACGTGTTCTCTAGAGGTTCAAGTTGTCAAATAGACAAGCCCTTGAGTGTGGGAATCTGGGCAGCCTCATAGGTAAGCTGTTTATTTGATGAATCCTGGAAGATGACTGTGGACTGGAAGTCTCTGTCTCAAGCCCAGCCTCCACAGTGGAGCAGCCCTTGCAGGGCATAGCCTCAGGGTTCTGCTATAGTACCCATGTGGGGCTGGTAGCTCATGCTCACCAGGGACTATCAAACACACTGGGCTGCGGCAATGCCCACGCCGAACAGGGCCCTGAAGGATTGCCTAGGAGCGGCCAGCTGGTCATGCTGAGGGAATAGACAGGGGAAGCAGGCAGGCAGGCCAGGGCCATGGACTTGCCCTGGGGACAGCGCTGTAGGATGCAGATGGGAGGACAGGGGCTGTGTGCATTTCCTAGGGCTGCCAGAACAAGTGACCACAAACTGAAAGCCACAGAGCCATCAAGGTACTTCCGTGTGTGGGCAGAACCCTTCCTCACCTCTTCCAGGTTCTGGCTTGTAGCGCATCCCGCCAAACACTGCCTCCATCTTCACTCACCCTTCCTCCCTGTGTCTTCTATTTCTCTGCGTCCATCCAAATTCCCTTCTTATAAGGACACTACTCATTTGATTTAGGGCTCAACCTAACCCCATGTGATCTCATTTTAACTTGATTGCATCTGCAGAGACCCTATTTCCAAATAAGGTCATCTCCACAGGTACCTGAAATTAGGACCCCAATAAATCTTTTGGGGGACACAGTTCTCCCCACTCTGTGGGATGAAGAGTACTCTGCAGGTGGCCCCAGGCTAAGCACTATGCTCAGGAGCCCTTCTCCTCCCTGATACCAGCACACATCCATACATGGCTATGACGCCAGCATCCTTGGCCGGCAGGTGGGGGCTGAAGCGTGTTCTCCCTTTCTTTCTCTGTGCCCCTATCAAATGCCTGAGGGCTCAGCTCAGATATCACTCCCTTGGCAATGTGGTCCTGGACTCTCCTCCCACATGGAAGTTCCGGTCCTTCCTCTGAGATGTACAACTTCTCTAGCACGTGGCACACAGCACACGGGAGCTTCCCCATTTGTGTTCCCTTCAGCCCCTCTAGGAAGTTTTTCTCCATCCTGGTCTTGTCCAGCAGTTGCCCTGGCATACAGTAAGCCTTCAGCATTTGTTGAGGAAAGAACAACCAAAGATAGAAAGATGAGTGGACAGCTAGATGGTTGCTAACTATTCCTTTAATCCAAAAGTCTTCCCTGATTACTCCACTCCTCTCCACCTTTCCTTCCCTCATCCTTTTGCCATATATTATTTTGCTTCATAGCAAAACAATGAGATTTATCACATATACATATTTGTTGGCTGTCTCCTTTCATCAGAGTACATACACTCCAAAAACAAGCATTTTGGGCTGGGAATTTAGCTCAGTGGTCCCTCTGCTTGCTTTGAAAGGGAAAGGTCCCAAGTTTGATCCCTGGGGAAAAAAAAAAACAAAAAAAACAAGCATTTTGCCTATTTTTTACAGTACCATACACGTAGCGCCTAAAGCACATTTATAGACTAAGTAGCCAAACTAAAGGGTGGTGGCTATTAGGATGGGTGTATGGGTGTATGGGGAGGAGTGGATAACATCCTGTGGCCAAGAGAGGCTTGTCACTCCAATCACAGTAGCAGCAGGTCTCAGAGCCACTGTCACACCTGATCTCTGCTGGGTGCCTTTGCTTCACTCCCTCTCCTCCCACCTGCAGACCCCAGGTTTATTTTTTATAGCTGTCATCTCAGGGCAAGGCCATCCCACTCCCTGCCTGAGATTATTAACTGTCTGAGGCTGAAGTTCTGAGGCCAGGGCTCTGCTGAACCTGCCTTTGATCCCTCGGAAATACCCCCTGCACAGGAGCGTGAGATTTCAGCCTCGGCCTGCCACGTGACAGGCCAGGTTTACATAACATGTTTTGTAACCAGAGCAGTACTGTGCTGCCCTTCACCGCTGCACCTTACACCTGCACTGACCTCCAAGTGAGTGTGTGTATGAGTGTTTCATGTGCACTCTGCCAGGAAGGTGTCGAAGGAATAGTCTCCCTCCATTCCTGAAGAGTCTCGCTTTATATAATCTACTTGTCTTCCAGGCCCACTTATTATGGAAAATGATCAGAGCTTAGACCAGGAAGGGGGGTGCAGGAAGTGGGGCACCTGGCTGCAGCCAGGTGTCTCTACCCATAGAGAAAAGCCAAAGGTAAGCATGCGGGCTGGTGGCCATTTAGTTGGTGCCAGAGGCATGTCTGCTGCAAAAAGCCAGCAGGGAGACCGGAAGGCTGTCCCTATCACACTTGAGGGAGGGCTTCTACCTGGACAGGGCTTCTGCAGACCAGGGAGCACCCAGACTTGTTAAGAAAAGAATTAGTGGCAGGACCATTTGACACTTAAAGGGCGATTCTGACAAGCCGGGTTAATTCTCTGTGTCTACACAGCAGGAAGGAGTCTCTGGTCTAGAGCCAGAACACCATCTGCCCTAGCCAGGCCACCAGGGACCCCAACTGAAGCTCCTTTCCAAACTCCTCATGAGTCATTCCTGTCACTGTGTGCTGTTGTCTATCCTTTCCAGCACTATTTTACCGGTCACATTTTAGGGCAGAGATTAAGTGAGTGGTGAGGTTAACTTTCCTTGTGGCTGGATGAGCTCCTCTGAGGCCTGGGACAAGTTAGAATCCCTGCTGAGGTCATGGCCAAAGGGCAGCTCCCCACTGCTGTGGTCACTGTGCAGGGGAGAGGCCAGGATGTGGGTCAGAGCCCAGGATTTTGAGGCCCAACCGGAGGAGGCTGGCACCTTCGGCTAGTGCTGTGCCAAGTGCCACAGGCAGCTCCGTCTGTCCAGCCTCAGGACTGAGCTCCCAGTCTGCTGCCCGCTCGGGAGGGAGCCTCAGCTTCCTGTCCATTGTCTACTTGGGGCACACCCAGTGTGTTCCTGAAGTGACCTGGAGAGGGAGGAAGGGAGAAAGGGAAAGAGGGACGGGGCCAGCCCAGAGCTCGGTCAGGGTGGGAGAGGGGAAATGAGAAGGGAAGGCTTGGTGTTTTTCCTTGTTTGTGTTTTGTATTAAAGAAAACAAATAATATCCTTTGAGAAAATCATTAAACAAAGCACATCCTAAGGCCCCAGAGGCCCATTGTGGCTGCCTGGAGCCTGGAATTCATTCATGCCTTTTTGACTAGATTGTTGGAAGCAAGAAAAATGGGGTGGGAGGGAAGGACTGTCATTAAAATACAGTTTGGAATGTGTCTTTCCCTCCCTGAACTCTACATATCTGGTCCATACCTCCAAGGTCTCTGTGCCCTCTTGACCTGTCTTCCCACTGCCCCTCAGGGAAGCTCTCCAGGGCTGCCAATGTCCCCCACCCCGCTCCCAGTTGGGGCCTGAGTCTTGTGAAGCTAGAAGAGTGGGACACGCTCTGTGGAGCCCCAATCCAGAGGGGGGTGTGTGTCACTTCACACAGAGGGGAGGGCTGCACCCACAGATCCACCATCTCCCACTCACCGTATGACATCTCTGAGCCTCCTCCTCCCTGCCTGCCAGGTGGGGGTTGGGGCCAAATGCACACCCATTTGCAGCAGCAGACAGGGCTCTGGGACTCCTCTCTCCGCCTGTGCATCCCCACACCGGTAGTGCAGGCCACAGTCTGGCTGTGTCAAAGCCAAGCCCCAGTACCCCATATTCTACTCTAGCCTGCTAGAAATGAATCTCTCCCCCATTGTCCCCTTGCGGGTGGAGGTGGTGAGAAGGAGGTAAGAACAGAATTGGCCATTAGCCCAGCTTCTGCAATAATTCTGCCAGGCCTGGCATTTGCTAGGATCAGGCCTGCATTCTAAGTAGAAGGCCTCTCTCCAGCTGATGTCAGTGTCTAAGTAGTTGTCATGAGGACAGTATGCAAAAGACCATCCTTAGAATTTTCCTCAGCCCCTCCTTTGAAGTTTAAAAAGGAATTTAGCTATTTGCATGTTTTCCCTAAATACTTCGCAAGCAATACAAGGAAAAAGGATCTTGGGTAAAATCTTCCAGGGAGCCAAGCCTAGGAATAGGAGGCAGTTTTCTGCTGCTCAAGGCAGACTCCTTCTCCTGATCCCCTCAACAGCACAGAGCAGAAGGTAATAACATTTCCATTTTGTTAGGAAATCGAAAATTGGAGGAGCTTTTCCCTGTCCTATAGCCAGTGGCTGTGTACCTGGTTCCCATGAGGGACACAAACAGCCCTCTGGACTGGGGCTCCACAGGAAGGGCCCCATTGATCTGCCTTCACAGGGCTCAGCCCCCAATCAAGGGAAGGTGGGGGACACTGGTCCCCTGAACTTGTTGCCCCCTCTCTGGAAACCTTGAAGTGCTCACTCAGGTCTCTAGGCCTGAGCATCCTCACTTGTGTTAGACAGCTTGGGCATGATGAATTCTGTGGTCCCCCTGTTTTTTGAGTCTGAAATTCTAGCATCCTTGCCTTGGGGGAAATTCATTAACTGTAGTGTTTTTCATTTTCCATCTGGATTTGAAATTCAGAGTCTAGCCTCTCCCATCTTCCCATCCTGAACGCTGTTGTGGTCAGTGTGGTCCCAGATGCCCTCTGCTCTCCTAAGAAGTTATTCACACCCTCTCTCTCCCACATCCCAGGGCTACCACCCGATGCCCCACGAGGTGGAGATTGCGCACACCAAGAAGCTGTTTCGGAGGAGGAGAAACGATCGAAGGTAAGAGAGACTGTCTCGAGCACTGAGTGTTCTTTCCCACACCAGTGTCTGTGGCTGTGTCATTGCTGGCCTGTGTTGTGCCCTTCCGGTCACCAGCTGCCACCCATGAGATGAGGTCGGTGGCATGGTGTGCTTGGTTACTGTTTGGGGATTCCCACGAGCAGGAGCAACTCCAAGGAGTGGGTCCTTCGGGAGTGCAACAGAGGGCCACCATCCCCCCTGCCTCTTCCAGGCCTTTGCAGGTCAGAAGCATTCTTCCCACTGACCTGTGAACAACAGCAGCACCCTCAAGGAATAGGCCCTGCTGGCTGCACGTTTTGAGACATGGTCTCCAGGAGGCTCCCGTAGTTCGGGAGTCCAAGGGCATTTGTCTTTCCTCCTTCGGTCATGGGGATTGTACAGGCGAGAACCAGCTGCCCTATGACAGGCAACATGCAGATGTCAAGGGCTTGTGCTATTGCTCCCAGAACCCAGAGCAGTGAACCAGGCTCTTCTGTGGAGTTCAGAGTCCCAAGTGAAAACCACAGGACAGGAGAAAAGTGATGAGGTGGCCATGGACAGGAACAAGTAGCTGAGATTTGACAACCAAGAAGGCATGCATTGTGTCCTACGAGGCTTTCTTATTTGGGGAGGTATTCACAGTGTGTTTTAGCTGAAAAAAATCAAGTCCAGGTACAGAACAGTGTTTGTTGTGTGCGGCCATTTGTGCAAAAGGGGGAGTCAGAGTGTATTTTCTGCTTGAACATGCATAAATTATTTCTGGATGAAAATCCAAAAAAAGAAAGAACAAAAAGGCTTATGCCTGAGGAATTAAAATGAGGTATTCCCCTATGGGGAATTTATTCTTAGATAAAGGTGATTGCTGTGGTTTTGCTTTAAATGAACAGAGAATGTTCTTGGAGATACAAGAAACAGCCAGCTGACATCCCTGGCTCAGAAAACTGAAAGTGCCTGCCCTTGTGCTGTGTAGCCACCTCCTGGAGCCTGAGGGCTGCAGCTGACAACGTCTCTTACCCTCCCTCTGCACGCAGGCCTAGAGTGAGGGCTCCAGGTGGCAGCCATAGCTTTCAGACTGTGTGGGGAGGACAGGGCACCCAAAACACTTGTCACCCAACAGTGGATTTAGTGGATCTGAAAACATTCACAGAGAACAGTAAATGTCCAGCTAGCTGGGAGGCCACAGTTCCAGCTTAGGACATAAGAACCACTGTGTACTTTATTTGGAACCACTTGGCATCAAAAGGAAACTTGAGCTGAGAGAATTGGACCAAGCTTGTCCCTTCTTTGACTGGGGTACAGTTAATTGCATCATGTTTGCTACCTTTTTGCTGTGTGGCATCACGGTGACCAATCCCTGCATCGTGGGTTCCTGGCAGAGGGAAGAAAGGAGCCACCCCAAAGGAGGAAAGGGGTTAGCCAGAACCTGGGGAGAGGTCAGGGAGGCCTTATGTCCCTCTGCCTCTGCCCCAGAGTATGTGTCTCAGAGGTACAGAAAGACCCTGAGCTTCTGAATGAGATAGCCTCTCTGGGCTCAGGTAGTGTCATCCACGTCAGCCCATATGTCCCTTTCTGGGCCAGATCGCCTTGCTCCACAAGAGTGCCCTGGACAGGGGCAGGCTCCGGAAGGCAGCAGCATGACATAGGAATGTAGGAAGAGGAGCCTGCGTGACATGTGAGGACAGGGAAGCCAAACTTCCCCTGAGCCGTGCTTATGGTAATGAATGCCCAGGGTAGGTCAGCACACCTCGCAGAGGATGTGGACCGGGCCAGCATCCAAAGGGAGGCAATAAAGATGATTAAAGGGATGGAAAGTATGTCCTGTGAGGAGAGCTGGAGGGCTGGGGCCAGGGAAAAGGGAAGAACATTCTCACCATGAAATTCGTGAAAGATTTACATGGAGGGAAGAGGGGCAGCTGTCTCTGTGTTCACAGAGACCCAAACTAGAGGACGTCTGCTGAAATGAAAGATGGGTTTTCGGCTGGACCAATGACAGACTCGAGGGAAGGGCTTGACTGTCAGGCCAGACTGCAATTCAGGATAGCAGACATTCACTGAGCCAGAGCCTATGCTGGCGGGGACACCTACCCTTATTCCCATCCTGGAAGACAGTACAATTCATCACTCATAGCCTGGAACTGTTGTGGTATCCCCAGGCAATGGGACTTTCATGATAAGAGCTGGCAGCCGCTTAGTTTAAGGACCTCATTGTCTAAAAGCAGGAGCCTCCAGAGTCCTGGGAAACACTGTGACTTTGATATTTAAAGAGTGCTGCAGAATATTACTAGGTCAGCCCAGGTCCTCCCAGACACCTTATGAGTGGCTTTGCTAAATACTAAGGCTTCGTATCATTAATACTTCTGTGCAGGCTAGCCTTCCTAATATTGGGGGCTGAAGCCACACTGAGAGAGGCTTGCATTCCTTGGGCACACCAGGTAGCAAGGGGAGCAAAGGGCATTGACCAAAATCAGGTTTAGTGGCCAAAGGCCATCCGCATCGTGCCTCTGATCTTGGCCTCTATCACATGAAGTGAAATGGCCAGTTGGATCCCCTGGTGTCCCTCTATCTCTCCTTGGAATGCCTATGAGAGTTTGTGGCTTCTGTCTTCCTACGGAGTGAGTGGAGTTGGTTTCCAATAGTTGTAGACTCAGGGTAGCATAGGCATGTAGCTGAACCTGGAGTGTGTGAACCCACAGCTGAAGCAAGCATTCTCAAAGTGGAATCTAGGGGCTGGGGATTTAGCGCAGTGGTGCCATTGCCTGCCTTACAAGCACAAGGTCCCGAGCTCGGTCCCTGGTACCCCCTCAAAAGTGGAATCTAGAATCCTCATTTTTACAGAAGTCCACCCGATGTCCCATCCTCGCTGGCTCTCTGGTGTTCCTGTGTAGTCTTGCTGCCTTTATCTCCCCCTTAGGTATGTTGGAGGCTTTTAGGGAGCTGAATCATGTAGCAGTGAAAGCTCATGCCCTGGAATTAGAGGCTGGATAGGAATCTCAACTTCTCTACATGTCAGCTGTGGGATCAGGGCAGATTACTTCAGATCTAGAAAGCTCTGTTTCTTCTTCTGTAAAATGGGTCCATGTCTTAGGTTACTTTTCTCATGGCTAAGTCAAAATACTTGACACCCCAAGTTAAAGGGGAAAAGGTTCATTTGGCTTACAGTTTGGAGAGGTTTCAGTTCATAGTTGGCTGGATCCAAGGTATGGCAGAGGAGTAGCAGTACATGGTAGACAGAGGACAGCAAAAGCAAGCAAGCAACTAGCGACAAGCCCCGACCGCAGCTCTTCTTTGTCCCTTGTATCTTTCCCAGGCCACCTGCCCTTAGTGCGGTAATACTCGCACCCTTAATCCTAGCATCACACCCTGAATCAATCCCAGCATCACTTCCTTTATTGCAATAGCACAAAAGCTACATCCAACCTCCTCCCAAAAGTCTCACCTATGATCACTTGAGGCTTTGGGGGTAACATCTAGATACGAGCCATAAGTCCACTAATTGGGAGATTAGAGAGAGCTCATTGTTGTGAAGCACCTAGAATGGTCTTAGCACCACCCTACTCCAGGTCAGAGAGAATCCAGTTGCCCAGCAAGCATTTCCAGGTGAATGTGCAGTGGAAATGTCTGCAGTGCTGCCTGGGCCTTTGACCCACGATCCTGGCAATGTGCTTATTGTGCCTGTGAACCCAGGAAGCCTTGCCCCGCACTCGCTCCAGAGCCAGGGCTCCAGGCTCAATTGTTCCTGCTCCTGGATCAGCTTGGAAAGCTCTGCCTCCCACTAGCAGAGCCCTGGGCCCCTTCTATAGCAGCCATCTCCAGGCTCTGCTCCCCTTTTCATGGGCTACTTTAAGGGTCTCTGGGATTAAAATTGAGTTGTGGATGTTTTCCCCATTTTACAGAAAAACATTAAGGTCTTAGATAGTTCAAAGGTTTTCTCCTTAAGAATATTCTCAAAATTTAGACAACTGGTAACCCCTTATTTATTTTTGGAAGCTAATAAAAGTTGGAAAGTTTCAGGCAAAATTATACATTTTATGATATAAATGTAATAAATGAGTATTCTATGCATTCCCCAAAGAGCAGCATGGCTTCGGGTGCTCTGTCTGCCCTCACCCACCTGGGGATAGAAAGGAAGGAAGTCAGCCAGGGTTTGCCTGCCTCTCCTCAAAGCTCTCTGCCCCCAGCATGCAGAGCAGAGGAGCAAATTCACTGTAGGGCTGTGAAGTCCTGGCCCATGGCTCCTGCTTACCTTGAGTGGGTCCCTCACCTATGGGGCAGTAGGTGGCATTTTCTCAACTCCTTTCCCAACTCCCACCACTGGCTGCATTTTAATAGATGAACAAACTGAGGCAATGAAGAAATGCCTACTCCCTAACCCCTGGAGAACAAACTCTGGGGTAGAGTAGCTTTTTAAGCAATTTTCTTTGGGGGAAGAGAGGCAGCAGAGAGACGTTAAACTGCAGTTTAGGCTTGGTAGGGAGTTCTGAAGTTGGCCCCAGATGGATTGACAGGGAAGGCTTTACAGCCCTGTTGGTCATGGCTGGGCTGAGAAGCCTCCTTCACCCAGGGCAGTTTGCATGGTGTTTAGCAGGACAGGGGCAAGGGCAGTGCCTTGCAGCCAGCACCATTGAGCTATCCAACTAGGACGGATTGAGCTATTGTCAGGGCTGTGTTTGTGCCCAGAAAACATCAGAGCACAAGGGTGGCCCCTGCTGTCAAGTGCCTGAGCTGGAAGCTTCTTGTGGCATGCTCACCCCACAATCAGCCAGAACATAGTGCACAGCCATGGAGCAGTCATACAATATAGAGGCGGCTCGGAGAAAGGAGCTGTCGTGAGGGTGCTTCTGGAATGCTTTCTGGAGGAGATAGCAGTCGAAGCACCAGTGAGACTCGAGGAGGAGTTGGAAAGGGTGAAGGATGAGAGGGACATGCACAACTCCACAACTAAGCAGGAACTGGAGCCAGGGATCCCTAGGAGTTGCCCTACACAGCTCCCTAGAAACAGG